CAAGAATGTCAACGATGTGCTATACACAAGCGAAAAGACAAACGAACAGAAGCTGAACTACAGTTATTCTCTCCCCTCACACATTTATTTGAACGGACGGCTATGGACATTATCGGTCCTTTGCCTATTACAACCAACGGAAACAAATACATCCTAGTTTTTGTGGACCATTTCAGCCGATATGCAGAAGCAATACCTTTACCCGATATTCATAGCAAAACTATCGCCAAAGCCTTCGTTACCAACATTGTTTTACGCCATTCAACTCCTGTACAACTTCTTACAGATCGAGCCCCAAATTTAATCTCCAAGATGTTCAAGGAAGTATGCGAATTGCTTCATATTAAGCGACTTCTTACAACCGCTTATCACCCTGCATGCAATGGGATAGTTGAAAGATTCAATAAGACCCTTGTTGATATTATCTCACACTATGTAGCCAAAGACCAAAAGGACTGGGATGAATGGATTCCCTACGCCTTATTTGCATATAACACTACCGTCCACGCTTCTACGAATGACAGTCCATTCTTTCTGTTGTATGGACGAGATCCAATTTACCCCTTTGACCTTATCACCCGTCCGACCAGAACTAAATACGATGTAGAAGATAACTTCGCATCGGAACTCCACCTTCGAATGGCCAGTGCCCATCAATTAGCACAAGAATATGCCGAAGCAGCAGCCAGAGAACGTCAAAAAATACATCGCCGAACTCATAAAATTCCTACATATCAGGTAGGCGATCGAGTCTTCCTTAATGAAGTTGTCCTACCTCAAGGGTTAAAAAGGAAATTAGCACCCCGATGGTCCGGCCCATTTCGTATCATATCCAAATTAAGTCCTGTCACGTTCCTTATTGAAAATATTCAAACGAAGAAACAACTCCAAGTTCATGCTAATAGATTGAAACATTGCACTGCTAGACAAGAATTCGAAAGGTCCGAAAGTTTAGACCGATTTCCTACACCAACATCTACACAACCTAAGGTATTATCCCGCCAACCTTCCCTAAGTGTAGACCCATGGGACGAATTTATCCTCACTGAAATTCAACCACAACCAGAAACGGACTTAGAATCAGAGGAAGACGATTCCGAAAGTGAAGAAAGAATAATAGAATCTACCCCTAGAGAAGAACCAAGAGAACCTACTTCCTCTCATTCTTATGCATTACGCAGCCGGGGACCAGTGGAAGAACGTCCCTGGATTCTCCCGACCCCTAGACGAAGTCGAATTCCCAAACGAAAGGCTAGTCCGCCAAAGGAAGGAAATAGCGGTCAATCAAAAGTAACAAGACAGAGTTAATTAAGACAACAGACAAAATTTACAAGAGAGAGAGAGAGTAGATTATAAATCCATTAACCCTCTGTATAACGCGAAAAAATATATTGTCGGAAATAATTAATCATATCAATGATAATCATATCAATGTCGGAAATAATTCATGTTAGTATTATGCACTCAGAGAGAGAGACTTTTAAATATTATGTGTTCACAAAACGGGTCTTTATCATTGTCAAATCAAATTTCATCGAAAATCACAAGAACCTCCAGGAAACACCCTACATCCTCTACCTTCCATTGAAACTTCAGCTCATTAAAATCGATCTTGCTCACTCAGAACAAGCCCGATTTTGGAAAGGCCGGGGTAATGTGAGGGACGAACAGACCCACAATAAAGTGTTATTTTAAATTTTAATTTGGAAAATATAATCGGTTAAATTCGAACGTTTTATCGAGTTAGGCTAAAAGCCATAAAATTTATTTCCCACGGAGTTTGTTCCTTGTTGAGTCGAATCAAGTTAGTCAGGGATGTGTCACCAGGAACTTTTGATGGAGAATCCATATTGGACGTGCGACCGTTAAAGGCCATCACCTGACCTCATGGAAAAAACCCAAGAGGAAAAAAAAAGAGAAAAGAAAACGATCCCGAGGTCAGTCGTCATCCGAAGTCCCTCTACAGAAGTCGTCATTCAAGCCCGCCCAACCAAGTCGTCCTCCAAACCATTAAAACCGTGCCCCAGGATTAAAACCGTAACACCGAATTAAAACCGCGACCAGGATTAAACCCGAGAAAAACATTCGTGCTGGATTAAGCCTCTACACTCCTCCGTGCCTCCACCCCAGTGAACGGACAAGATTCTGATTCAAGATTCAACGACAAGATTCAAAGAACTGTCCATCAAAGAACTGTCCATTCAAGATTCAAAGAACTGTCCATCGACAAGGTATTTATCAACCCGCGATTCGGTTGTAAACTCTCTCTCTCCGCGGCCTAGTATAGTTAAGGACAATAATATGCCGATAGTATTTAGTATCTCTGTATAGTATTTAGTTCGACTTAATTAAAATCGTTAATTATTTGTTACTATGGAGTCCGAGTAAGTTACTTCCGCGTCTCTCTCTTCACCTCTACTCCGAATCCAAGCGCTCACACGCTACCGCTCGCGAATCTTTAGACGTAACGTCACGATTTCCGAGTCCCCCAGAGACTCGGTGGTGTCAGATTCAGCCCTCCTGACAGGGCGCCAAAGAGGTGCCGACCCAGCGGTCACATAGCTATTGACTTTCTGTCAGCCTTATTCTGTTCACTGAGGTTAGGCAGAATCCAAACTCTCAGCTTGTTCACTTTTCCTAGTTTTTGGAGGTGATGGCTGATGGTTGATGGAATGCATGCAGCTTCTCCGCTAACTCCCTCGTTGTTTGTCATGGGTTCTGCTCAATCATGACCTTAAAAACATCATTATCAAAGTCTGTAAAGCAACCAGGTCTTTATTAATCTTTTAAGAACAAATCCCCAGAATGGAATTTTGTAAACCACTTTTGAACTGCTCTATCTGAAATTACTCCACTGCCATAAACATTGCAAATGCTTTTTGCCATTTCTGTAACATTATTACAGAGTTTAAACTCCCACAAGACATGGCAAATGTGCACTTTCAAATATTTCATTTTAAATGAATTCAAAAAACAATATTTTATTACATTATTAACACTTTAATGTTAAAATTTGCATTTAAGGACTAATGACTAATAAAACTCAGTTCAAGGGACACACCATCTTGCAAGTATTTGAGTTTTTTACACCTACTGGTAAACTGAACTTATTTATGACTCAACCCAATACATAACATTCATTCTATTTGTATTTTGTCATCATTTTCAATTTCTGATTAAATTCCTTAGGAATTGCAAATTTACTGACTTTTTTTTATTACTGGTAAAATGGTAAACTTTCGCAAAAATTAGCATACTGTTTTACGTAATGATTGTTTAGTCGTCAACTCAATGATTTTTAGTGCTCTATCATCAATTGAATTCCCTTCTATTTTGAAAAGCAAAAATTTTGTTGCTCAAAAAAACAAATAAATAAAGCATGCTGCAATTTTTCATTTGCCATGAGTAAAAGTGTAAGTGTTAACATTCAAATAAATATATTCAATTTTGTCAACTAATATTATTGCACTCTAGGTGTTATGAGTTTAGAAAGAAATTGTCAAACTGTCCAATGGGGTGCTGTAATATGATGCTTCAAAAACTTTAAAGAACTGCAAATAATTTAAAAGATGAATGGTATAAATTATTTTTTCAGTTTAAATAAAAAATTTTTGATGCTTTTGTATTTTATATATAATATAAATATGTGAAAGTGTACACAAATATACCGTATTTACTCGCATATAAGATGAGGTTTTTATTCATTTATCACAGCTTCAAATTCCTAGGTCGTCCTATATGCATAAGCTAGACTTTGCATTTTTGCAAATAATTTTTGTAAACCGTGTATTTGCATTTTGTACTGGATGCTTACCCTCTTGTATTTAAAAATATAAGTATTTTATCTGGATTGTTTGAAACGTTCTTGTATATTGTCAGGAGTAAAGATGAATAGCAATAGGAAAAGCAAAGCTTTTGAATTGAATTCCAGATTGAAATTCCAAAATCATACGGGAGTACGATATAAGTTTTAATCCATTCCCATGTGAAAACAGATGATTATTCAGAAATCAGAATTCAAAGAAATTCTAAGTGTGATTGGCAGAGAGTGGATTCGACTGTTAAGAATTGGCAAAAAAAGTCCAGCTTTACATGAACAAATTATGTTGTCAATTTTACAAGTTTTTTCCTTAAAGTTTAAAATGCCAGTAATTTTTGCAGGACAATGTGTGCATTTACGTACATTTAATATTTTACTTGTGATTAATTAAACGAAATAAAATTATAATTGTATTAATAAATCTAATTTTCTTTATTTTGATCTTTAAAGTCACACTATGTCCTATATGCGAGTAAATTCAGTAGTTATCTTTTGAAGCCAAATATTTATGTCTATTTTATCAGGTTAACAAATTTTCCAATAAAAAATATCAAATTATCAGTATTGCTGATATACTGATGCAGTTTTTTTAAAAATCTAATTACAGGTAAAGCCATTTATTGGTAATGAAATCCCTAATATTCTTAGCATATTCACTACTTGGTTTTATCAATTTGAAAAAAATTCATTTATATCATTCTCTTCATTAGTATCCACATTTGAATATCCATCAATAATATAAAAAATAATTATCAAAACATTGGTCACCATTCTATCCAGGAAAAAATGAAATTTTTCACACCTCTCTCTCTCATTCACAAAAAAATAATAGTAATAATAATATTAATAATTTAATAACTTAGACTAACATGATTGCTAAATGAAGAATGCTATCATTCAACAAAAAACATTTCTATAATTATGTCAGTTAAGTTTTTGGATTCATCATATGTATCAATAGAAAACAAGAAAAAATTTCCTGAATATAATAATTCATTACAGCTATTAAAATGAAGCAGAATGAGCATGATTTAGTATTGTATGTTCAATCTAATGTATACAAAATGTTGAGTGAATGTGTGCATGAGAGTAATGTGTTAAATATTACTCTGAAATCAGTTAAGTAATATGCTATAAATAATTCTCTTTACTCAAAACTAAGTAAAATAAATCCACTTACGCATAATTTTTATTTATAAGTGTAATTCTCCAAACACATTTTAAATCGAACCTCATTCTTTCTGCCTCTGCTTCAATACACCAACTTTCTGTTTCATCATTTTTTTGATTGCCTACAAAAACAAATGTAAATTTTAATAAAATTCAATTTAATTAATATTGAGGTAATAAATTAATACAGTATTTTAAATATATATATTCAAATACAGTTAGTCTTAATCTCTTAATTATTGATTATAATAATTAATAGTAATAACACTAATTAACAATAAGAATAGTACAATTTATCTATCATTAAAGATTTCAAATTATACTTGTTCTTACTTCCTATAATTATATTGTCTGTCATTAGCTTATAGATTATCCAAAAGACAATAATAAATGGCTTTGAAACAATAGTCTAAGTCAAATCAAATCAATAATATACATTAATAAAAATATAATAAAATTTTCTAAGCCTAATTTGGAATCAAAAGTAATTTAAAACCTCTACTAAGCATGTTCATCTTTTGTTATAGACAGAATAATTATGTAATATATTACATAATTGTTAATTCAAAATAAAAAATTTCAACTTATGTTTCATTAAAGAATGTAAAGCCAAATAACCACAGGATTACTTTTCCGTGATTATATTTAATTAATTACCAAATACTTTGTCACTAGAGGGAGCAAACTCTTATTAAATTTAATAACTGTAATTAAATTAACATTTATTAAATAACTTAGAATATTCTAAATTATAGGACAAAGGCAGTGAAGGACACCCCAGTCAGCACCATAAGTAACCAAGAATGGTTATCATATTTAAATATGATAACCATTCTTGGTTATCAAGATCAAACTGGAGACTTGGGAAGCATAACTGGCAACACATCTGCATCGTAAGCAGGAGTTGTATGTTCGAGTTCTGCTCCAGACCAATTCTTTTTGTCTTGTTTGGCTTTACAAATTTATTGGGTTTTGTGATACTTGTTTAATTAAAGTGTATAAGTTTAAAATTAAAGAAAATTTAAATGCCAAGTTTGTTCATTTAAATTAAAATGTAATAAGTGAAAAAAAGTGAACAATTATAATAATAATTAAAAACATCATGTATATAACAGATATTCAATATATAAAAATTTTGTAATCCACATCTCCAAGGATCAAAATTCCTTTTTCTCCTGAAAATGAGTTTATATAAATTTGAAATCAAATAAGGAAACTGATGCTAGATTTAAAAAAAACAAAACACATTAAAAATGACTTGTTATTATTTTTCATACATACAATATAAGCTTTCCTTCTATTTTTGTATAATTTATCACAATTACATGATTTCAATAAATATACTGGTATTTTTGAAACCATGCCAGTAATTTTTAGTAATTTGAACACAAACCATTTACTGTATTTATTCAGACACTTGGCAAATCTCATCATTTTATTCAATTGATATGGGTTCGTTGTATTTGTACACGTTTCGAGCGTACATGTTAAATTACAAATGTTTGTAAAGTTCAAATCTTACAAACATTTTTAATATTTGTAAAGTTTGAACCTTAATTTAAAGGTTTGTAAGGTTTGAACCATGTAATTTAATGGATAACAAGTTAAATTTACAAAGAATTTTATGGTTTTAACTTTCAGTAATCTGTAATCTAAAAGTTGGCTGAAGAGGGGCAAGGAATACCTGAAACGTGTACAAATACGATGAACACGTATCAACTGAATAAAATTTAATGATGAGATTTGCCAAGTGTCTGAATAAATACAATAAATGATTTGTATTCAATAAATATTTCAATGGATACTTTTACAAACTAAATATATTATAAGAACTGAAACTTTCATATTGAAACTACTCGTAATATATTATCCATATTGCTATTTTACAGTTGATATTTTTAAATTTAAATCAATGCATTTGATCAAAAAAAAAATCACGAACTTCAAAATTAACCAAAATTTTTAGAACATACATTTTAAAACACTGTGCATGAGAATACATTTTTGAGGCAAAACATTAGCAAAGCCATTTCTATGTGGATTAAAGAATTGTGTTCATTCTCAAAATTTGAAGGGCTGATTTTGATAAAAATTTTGCCATTTTCTATTAATTGCAATGCAAAACCCAAATATGTATGTGTAGTATATATATGTCTTGGACCTTTATAAATATACTAGCAGGTAGGCCCAGCATTGCTCGAGCAAAAGTAATGATAGAAAAGATTAAGATTATTACATTATAGTCAACTTTACCCATTTTTACAGAATGCAAGAATTGGGTCCCTCTGTTTCTGGACCAATTAGAGAATTTTTAGATGGGTCTAAAAATATGTTCGATTTCCCACAAAAATGAAAAAAACTGCATCTGTGTCTTGCATGTCACTTTCTCTTAACAATTCCATTGTTGACACTTCCATTGTTACTTGACACTTTCATTGTTGATGGAAGTGTTAAGCCTTAATCCTGTCCCTCTCCCCTGTGGGGAGGTATTTCGAAAAATCCCTTCTTAGTGTGCGTTCTCGTGACATACCCTAACTGTGTACCAAATTTCAACTTTCAACTCCTAACTGTTTGGGCTCTGTGCTGATGATTATTATTATTATGTTGGGTTCAGTAGGTTATACTCGGTTGACACTGGTGGCTGTGTACTATGCCGGACCAGAGTCAAGGCATAGCAACCAAAACAAAACTAAAATTAAATAAGTGTGGCAGTGTGCGTGTCTGTATTCAGGAATTTCCTAACAATATGGCATGTATTCAATATAGTGGCCTTCTGTAATGTGATGTATGTAATTCTATTCAGTTGTAATGTTCCCAGGCTTTTGTGTAGTGTGTGTGGTATCACACCTGTACAGGAGAGAATGACAGGTACAATAAGCACCCTATCCATCCTCCACAGATGCCTTATTTCCTGGGCGAATTCTGTGTACTTGCTAATTTTTTTCAGTGCATGTGTTTTGTATATTGTGAGTGTTTGCAATGGCTATGTCTATAATGTATGTGATTTTATTGTGTTTGTCAATGAGGGTGATGTCTGGTCTGTCGTGGTGAATTGTTTTATCTGTGATTATGGCTCTGTTGTAGTACATTTTGTGTGTGTTGTTTTCCAATACTGTTTGTGGTATATACTTGTAGTATGGTTCCTGGATGTCTACCAATTTGTTTTTCTTTGCAAGCTTTTGATGTATTATATTTGCTACTTGATTGTGTCTATGTAAGTAATCTGTCTGTGTCAAGAGCTTGCAACCAGAAATGATGTGTTGTATAGTTTCTGGCATGACGTGACATTTTCTGCATGTGTCATTTGTGAGTGTTGTATCTTTGAGTATGTGTTTTCTGTAGTTTTTAGTATTTACTAGCTTACCCGTCGCGCAATGCTGCGATCTCAGAAGAAAGGAAATTTAAGCAAACTCTTTATGACAAAATTCAACTTACATTTTATAATTTTTATTAAAACTTATTATTATTACATTATTATTTCGAGTCGATATTAAAATTTGGAAAAGGGGATACCTAGATCGGTAAAATACGCGAATTTCCTCCTACAACTTCGGTTGTTGTTAGGGGTACGGTTAAGGTTTTAACGAAGTTCGAGCGAATAAGTAATTTAAAAAAAAGTTGAAATAAAGTGATTAAACAAAAGTTATTACAAATATCGTAAATAACAGTTCACAAATGCATATATAGAGATATTTTTTGAAGGGGAGGAAATGGTCTTCACAATTTGAAATCGATCAAACACACTGTGCGCGAATGCTCGTGTAAACGCGCGCCATCTATCGTAAGATAAATGTACTTTGCAGGAGTGTATTAAAAAATTAAAAAAACTTTCCAAAGTTTCATGGCAATCATACTATGCCACAAACCTTCCCCGGAGTATATTAAACAACTTCCCAAAGTTTCACGGCAATCGGATAAACGGTGTGGTAATGCATGAAGGACACACACACACACAGACACACATACATTCATTTTTATATATATAGATGACCTGATCCTGTATGGCAATCATGAATCCTTCCGTCTCCCCAAAGAGGCATCCCCAATCTAACCAGCTGTTTGATGCAGTTTTGCCAACAAAATCCTGGGCCAGGTCATAAGGATGCCTGCCATGGGGTGCCTTTTGAGTCACGATTGCTTAATGTTGTCTATGCTTTCTATGTTGTGTCAAGTCTGTATGATGTGAGTGTAGTTTAATGGTGTGTTATTTGAGTCTGCTAAACTTACTGCTTTATGTAATTGTGATGTTTCTTGTTTCCTGTAGAAAAACTCTCGCAGTGGCTGAATTTGTTTGTAGTGAAGGTTAACTATGTCAATCAGGCCACGTCCGCCATCTTTCCTTGGAAGAATTAATCTTTCTGTGGCAGATTTAGGGTGATGTTGTTTATGCTTAGTAAGCATAAACAACATCACCCTAAATCCTTTGGAGTTGCTCAAGATCTGTGTGAGTCCAATGTATAACTCCAAGAGAGTATGTGAGTACTGGGATGACATATGTGTTTATTGCTTTAACTGTGTGTTTTGCATTTAACTGTGTTCTAAGTATAGCGTTTAACCTACTTTGGTATTCATTAATTAATCGTTGCTTTATTTGTGTATGTTCTGTTAGTTTGGCCTGTTGGAATCCTAAATACTTGTAGAACTCGCCCTCTTCCATGGATTCAATATTGTCTCCATTTCCAAGTGCAAAATCTTTCTTCAGGACTCATTTTTCTATGTGAAGTGTTTTGCATTTGTCTAGGCCAAACTCCATTTGTATGTCCTTGGTGTATGAGTGTGTGATTTGTAGGAGTTGCTGAAGTTGTTTTTGTGTGGATGCATAAAGTTTTATGTTGTCCATGTACATGAGATGTGACAGCGTAAACTGTGTTGTTTTTTTCATGTCTGATATTGTAGCCATATTGCGTGTTGTTAAAATGTTGGATAATGGGTTCAGGGTAGGCAGAACCAGAGAGGACTCAAGGAATCTCCTTGAAAAATTCCTCGCCTAATGAATATTTCGTTTGTTTGTATGGAAGTGTTACTAACCCTGAGATGCAGTGTTGTTCTCCAGTGCTGCATAGTGTTTTCGAAGAATGCAATGAGTGATGGATGTATTTTGTATATGTGTAGAATATATAGC